TACATTTACTTATACTGAAAAGGTAATGAATGAATATTTATTTGGTGAATGAATAATTTAACAGTGTTTTAACAATTTATACTGCCACCTGTGAAACATAATACTGTTGGCTTTGAACACTAAAATTTCAATTCTAGCTGACAAAAAGACTAAAATAATGATTCCTCAAGCTTAGTAATTCTATTTCTTGTAAAGTTTTAATTGGAGGTATGATTTTTCTCCCTCAATCACTCTATTAAATGATTATGGAGCTCATTCTCCTATCTTTACCTTCTAGGCTGACATTTCTCTGGATCATTTTCTCATACCTCTCTGCTTGAACATATTTCCATTCACTGATGCCCAACTATGAAACCTCTACAGTTCAAATTCATTTTCTACTAAGTTGCCAGGCTAATACTTTCTGTTGGGTCTGGGCCACCCACACAGCTCTCTTAACATCTCACTGACCACTCCTGGTGCACTTGACACACTCCTTTGGAAAGGGCACTTCTCATCCAGTCTTCCTCTCAACCCCATGTACTAGCATCATGTAGATTCCTTTCTCCTCCACCACACATACCCTTAGTCTGTATCTGTAAAACACAGACGTGTTCACCTCTATTCCCCTTCAGTCATACACTCTGGGACCTCATTCACTCTTTGGATCTTGGCATGATCAGAAAAAAACTTTCCATCTCTGAAATCTAGGTAGATTATTCTCTTCTGTCTATAACTTTCTATCCTCTCAAGATTTTTAGTTCCTTCTCCCCAAATACTGTTAGTTTTTCCCAAAACCTCCAAACCTGATATATCAGATTTCATTGGGGCTGGAGATGTGGCTCAGCGGTAGTGCGCTCGCCTGGCATGCGTGCGGCCCGGGTTCGATCCTCAGCACCACATACCAACAAAGATGTTGTGTCTGCCGAGAACTAAAAAATAAATATTAAAAATTCTCTCTCTCTATCTCTCTCTCTCTCCTCTCTCACTCTCTCTTAAAAAAAAAAAAAAAAAAAAGATTTCATCCTCCTTCCACTCCTTTTTTGAGCAACCACCAACATTTATGGTAACTCTATAAAGTAAAATCCCCAACAGCCCCAAGCTCTRTCTTGTGCGCACTTGTCAGCTGCAGAGTACTCCTGGAAGAAGTCATTTAGGTGGGTGACCTCAATATATATAGGTTTATCAGCCAGACCCACAATATCTCTCTGCAACCATCTAACCACCTTCCRTGGGTCTCCTGCTGGCCTCACAGCATTATTTCAAACTTCCATGACTCTCTTAAAGCCCTACTTCTCTACTGATTCTCACCAGGCTGGCTATTCTATTTCCAAGAAAAAACAGACCAGCAGTCAGGAAATCTATCAACTCTCCACCCACAACTGCACTCATCTACCTTAGTTCCCATCTTTTCATCCTTCATTTTCATGCCTGAGGGAGATGGGTCCTTTTTACTTAGGTTAATATCTCCACCTGATATCCAAATCTTCCTACCTTCTGGGAAAACCTGAATCAGTGACTATGTCTCCTGCTTCTCTTTTTTTTTTTTTTGAGAGAATTTTTTTTTTAATATTTATTTTTTAGTTTTCGGCGAACACAACATCTTTGTTGGTACGTGGTGCTGAGGATCGAACCCGGGCCGCATGCATGCCAGGCGAGCGCGCTACCGCTTGAGCCACATCCCCAGCCCCTGTCTCCTGCTTCTCTTTGAAGCTTCTTCCTCGCTCCTTCCCTCAGCACTTAAAACATGCTCAAGTTTTCTCATGACTCTAAGTCACATAACACCCATCACCATTACCACTAGACATATGGCCAGATACTAACCTTGCTCTCTGCCTTTTCTTCACAGGCAATCTTTTTTTTTTTTTAGCTGTAGGTGGACACAATATCTTTAATTTTTATTTATTTATTTATTTATTTGTATGTGGTGCTGAGGATTGAACCCATGGCCTCACGCATGCAAGGCAAGTGGTCTACCACTGAGCCACAACCCCAGTCCCACAGGCAATCTTTTACTAAGCTGAATTCACTGTATCTCTTATCTCCTATCTACTTTCTAACCTATTCTAGTCCAGTTTCTCACCCCCACCACTACTTTATGAAATGCCCCTACACAGGTCATAATGACTTGTTGCRTATTAATTCCCATGATGTTTTCTAGCCTTCATATTACTTCAGAAATAAAAAAACCACAATAATATGAAACATTTATATAGCGTTTTTATGTGCTAGAATTGCTTTAAGAAATTTACACACACTAATTTAATTCTCACAATATTCACTCATGGATAGGAACTACCATTACTACYCTTTAGCAGATGAAGAAAATAAGGCACAGAGAAATTAAAGTAAGGTACTCTCAGCACCTGTCACTTTCTAGGAGGTAAAGGATTTATGTCTGCCTCTAGGAGACTTCCTTTTCCTCATCTCTCTCTGACCTCCCTTGGTCTGTTTTGTGGTCTGCTCTTTGCTCACATGGATTTTGACATTCTCTAGGATTTCATCTTTTGAGCCCTTAGTCCTCTTAAGGCCATTCTTACTTATGGCTACTTGCTGATTAACTCTTATCCAGGATGTATCTAAGTTCCTCAAACTCAACTGGTCCCCAACTAAACTGATCTACCCCATCCAATTCTTCATCCTCTATATTCCTTTTCAATTAGAGTGGCATCAACTGGGCACAAGTGTGTATACCTATAATCCCAGTGACTCAGGAAGCTGAGATGGGAGAACTCCAAGTTGGAGGCCAGCATCAGCAACTTAGGGAGACCCTGTCTGAAAATTAAATCCCTGTAAAAAGGACTGGGGATATAATTCAGGGGTAAAGTGCCCTGGGTTCAGTCCTCAACCCCCTTCCTGCCAAGGGGTCATCTGATTCTGAGGGCTGAGTGGAAATTAGCTGCTCTGAAGCCAATCACTTAAGTAGTGAATGAGCTTAGCTGAATGCATAATAGTCACATCCCAACAAAACTTTACTAAGGGTCTAAAAGAATCACAGTTTTCATTTCTATTTTAAACCACACGGGGGAAATCATTTCGTACAGTGGCACCTTCTGATCTGTGTACTCTCAAATATCCCTGATGAATGTCAAAGGCTTATTACCTACTAAAAAAGGCAGTATGTGGTCAAAACCAGGTGCAAGTGACAGGAAGCAAGTCATCTCAGCCCAATCAGGGAAGGATGGAGGATGTTGCATCTGTAATCAATTTTGAAGGATAATGAAATCTTAAAATGGAAAAGATGGAACTGAGGGCCGACAAACAAACTGAATGGCAAGAGCAAAGACTGAGATAGGCAAATGGAAAGCATGACTGGGTAATTTCCAGAAAACCAATGTGGCTGGAACAAATCTTTGTGGAAAGGCTTGGAGGCCTGGCTATGGTGTCTAGTACTCCATTCAGTGGCAAGAGGAGACCAGTTAAGTCTTCTGAGTTCAAAAGGAACACATAGGGAAGCTGGGGACATCCATAGTCAAAGCACTCCCTGCCCTATTAAATCACTAAGATCTCTTCAAATAGCAATAATTCAGGTTTGAAACACAAGTTTTCAACACTTTCTGAAGCAGCAAACAAGAGGAGGGAAACCTTTACCTTGGCACATGGCAAAGCTGACCAGCTATAGTGAACCCACTCAGAAAACTGTGGCTTGAAATACCCGTGGCAGGAGTGATGAGTGGAAGGCAAGAAAGTACAGTGGATTCCCACACTGTATTTCTTTTCAACTTTGTCTACCAGGGGCTAAACATCTTCTGAGGCTTTKTGCTTCAAAAGTTCTAAGCTACTGCTGACAAATCCAGTTACCAACACTGTGAAAATATCAAATATTTTTTCCATTAAAACATTTGGGGTGGAGAGACACTAGATAAAGAAGGAGAAGAAAGAGGGAAGAAATGAAAGTACAAATACAAAGYCTTGGTTACCTTTCCTTGCTGCTGCTTCTTTCCTCAGTTTCCTCARTTTCTCCAAAGCTCTAAGAATGTCCACCATTCTTTTGGTGTCTGCTTGTTTTTTCCTCACTTCAGATAAGACTCCATCAGCAGCAGCCTTGAGTTCCTGCTCCTGGAGGAGAAACAGACCACAAGACTCTGTATTAGAAACAACCTTACAACAGGACTTATAGCTGCTGATTTCAAAGGATCAAACAGTCACAGGGTTAAGAAAGACTCTACTGAATCTATACTAAGTTTCATAGGCCTGGCACAACTACTCCCCTCTACAATGGTCCAATGAAGGCCTTATCTTCCTCCACTAACTGTATAACTTTCTTAAAGGAAAATCTCTCTTTTTTGCATCTTCAACATTGACACTTGGTCCTTGTTTCTTTGTTTCTCAAAGCTTGGTCCAGGGAGTATCTGCTCCCAACTTACTTTGTTAAGTGGGGCACTCTCATTAAAAATGCAAACTCATTGGCCTAAAGATTCAGATTCCCAGGGAAGATAATGCTGTTTCACCCTTCTGCTTAGATTATTCCCTCTGCCTGGAACAGTATCTGATGCCTTTACTTACTTTGACATTTCTTTCAAGGCTCAGCTTACACGTCATTATATCATTTGGACTGAATATTCCTTCTCTTATCTCCTTATAGCACCTATAGATGAAACCCTAACACACACCATGCTACAATGACATGATCCTTCTGAGACTCTAAGATTCTCAAGCACAAGGGCTATGGACTACTCATCTCTATCCTTGGTATTGTGCACTGATTCTGGCACCTAATGGGCTCTTGTTAAATTCCAGCTTAACTGACTCAAATTCCCTTGGGTTAAAGTGCTGCCTGTCCAGACATTCTCCTTTAAAAGCAATGATATTCTGAAGTGCAATGATACAGCTTGCCATTAATATACTTCACTGCAAAGTTATATCAGACTCCAGAGTAGCAGCAGACCATAAAGAGGAGGAACTGACTGGGGAAAGTGGAGGGAGGGGGTAATGGAATCCCAACAGCATTCAAAGGAAAAGAGAAGGCCTTAGCAGAACATCTGACCAATTTACATTTTCACCCTGGTCCTACTTAAGAGCTTGAGACGACAGGCTTTGAAACAGACAACTGGGGCATAAATCTGAAGTTAAACTGCCACAAACTGGTTGTGATTGTTGGCAAGTTAATCTCTCTATGCCTCATTTTCGAATCTGTAAAACTGGTGAAATTCCTCCTATATCTTGGGGTTGTTATAAAAACTCATGATCTAGTTTATTTAATACCTTAGAGTAGCACCTAGTACATGTATAGTTAAGTGCTCAAAAACATGATTGGTAAACCTAGGGAGGTTTTATTTATTGATACTGGGGATTGAACACGGGGCTGCTTTGCCACTGAGCTACATCCCCATCCTTTTTACTTTTTGAAGGTTTCACTAAATTGCTGAGGCTGGCCTTAAGCTTGTGATCATCCTGTCTCAGCCTCCAAGTCGCAGGGATTAAAAGTATGTGCCATTGCACCTGGTTGATAGATGTTTTAAAACCAGCAAGCAAATCCTGGGAAAAACACTATTGCTCCACCAGCCAATTAGGGTACGTTCCTTGAGGCAGGGTCCCAAGTTCTCTATATTTTGCATTCTTAAAGTCACTTAGGGAAGTAAAGTCACTTATAAACCTTATAATTTTGGTTTACAGTCCTTTACAGTGCACTAGAGCTTTGTTTTGTGTGCCATACATCATTAACACGCAATTAATATAGGGGTACCAGGTGGAAAGGGTGGCTAACATTTAACAAATAAGGAAACAGACTATGCCCTGAGAAATGGCAGCTTAAAAGCTTCACACCGCTCAGGTTCCAACCACCACCACCCCTACAGCCATGTCCTTCGCTGCTCTCACCCGCTTCTTCTCCTCCACCTCCTGTACGCACTTGACCCGCCAGCGGTCAATCTCCTGCTCGCGTTCCRCTGCCCGCGCGGCCTCCGCCTCCCGCTCGGCCTCGCGTTCCCGGGCTCTTTCGCGAAGCCGMAGCCGGCGGCGCCGGACCCTCTCTAGCCTCCGCCGCGCCTCGCCCATATAGGCGGYCTGGGACAGTGGCTGTAACCGCTCAGCCAGTTCGGTGCGCAGCGGCGCGGCCTGGGCATGCAATAGGGACCAGGCCGCGCCGTCGGCCTCCGCCTCGCGCAGGGCCTGACCCAGGCCACGAAGCCGCCGCACCAAGCGCAGAGCACCACGCAACCGCGCGCGTACGTCGCCTAGGCTGGGCGCGGCGGGCGCACGCTGGGGCACCGGGCAGCCCGTCCGCCGGGGGGTCCCGAACACCGCCTCCAGCCACTGCCGGTCGCGCAGGCGCTGCAGGGCCGCGTCCCCAAGCACGTCGGGCGGCGGCGGCGCCTCAGCCCAGCGTGGGCTCCAGGGCGGCCCCGGGCCTGGAGGCGGTGGCCTCGGGCGCTCGCCGGCATCGGTCCCCGGGAAGGGCCGGCACTGGGGCGGCGGCGGAGGCAGCGGCGGTGGCGGCACCGAGTAGAAAGCGCTGCCGCCGCCGCCGCGGGAGGCTTCCGCGGGGGCCCGAGGCTGCAGAGCCAGCGGAGGCTGGAGGAAGGGGACAGAGGCCCCCGGAAAAGGGCCGGGCCGCTGGGGAAGAGGCGGCGGAAAAGCCGGGGAGGGCAACGGCGGTGGCGGACAGCCGAAAGGAGTAGGAGGCGGTGGCTGCGGGGGCGGCGGGCCCGGGCGACCCGGGTTGAAGAAGGGCGGTAAAGCCATATTCACGGAAATACTGAGAAGTGACAGGAATTCCAGCGGTTCTCCGTGAGTCTTCCGGGCGGAAGTGACGTCTTGTAATGCGCGACTCCTTACGACACGTCCCTCCAAGAAGCGCAGTGTAAGGGTGGGCGTTGATTGCATTCTCACTCTTTCAAATCAAAAAATACTCTTCTAAGTATTCTTGATGCGTAGCTATGAGCTCCGTGCAAGTGAGACAACGAAGCAGTCTATTCCTGGAATTGTCTAGTAAAAGAAAACCTATTAATCATGCAACAAATGTCGAAGTGTAATGATGATATTCGACTTGGTCAGAGTTTTAAAGTTCGTCCTAAGGATTTAAGGCTTCTGTTGCGATCTGAAGGACAAACAGGAGTTATATGGAAGAGACAGAAGCATGGTCCAGATGGGAACAGCATCTGCTAGTGGATAGGAGTATAACTAGTGGTGGTGGGGGACCCAAGGGGAAGTGAAGGAATGCCCGTGTGTGTGGAGCTAAGACCTGAGGGTGTCACCGTAAGAGGGTTCGAGGAGACGTTTACTTAGACCTTCCAGGCTCTTGACACATTGCAGAAGAGAATTTAAGAAAGCATCAAGTTTTAGAACATATGAAGGTGTTTATTAGAAAGTGAAAGGTGAAGATAARCATTTTCAAGAGCAGAACGCGGGTTTGTTTTAGTTTTGGTACTGGGGATTGAGCCCAGAAGTGATCCACCACTCACCTTCACTCCTAGTCCTTTTTATTTTTTGAGACACGGCCTCGCCAAATTCCTGAGGCTGGCCTCAAATCCCTAGTCGCTGGGATTATAAACCCGAGGGCCACCATGCCTGACTGGGGTTTTTCTTTTAAAGGAAACTTTATGAAGGGTAGACGTGGTAAGGTTATGTGGGACCCTTGTCAGCCTGGTGAACTCAGTTCTTTGATCATAAATCACAAGCTGTTTATGGTTATCTGGTCTGTATCCAGGATTTTCAGCTTGACAATATCTATCTAATCAATCTTTGGAATGTGTCTAAATTATGTACGCTAACAGTGCAYCTATTTAATCAAATGAGGCAATTTTCATAGATGAGTGAATTTGTAGTAACTCTTTTGTAGATTTCTCAGAAATCTGGGAATGACAAGCCTGGGAGTGATATCTGGAGAGAAGGTCCAAGCTTGGGGCTTTTAGAGTTACAGCTATAGGCTTTTTTCCTTCCCTTTTGTCTCCTTTTTACCTATCTTTATTCCTTCTATCCTACTTCAAGGGGAACCTCGTGATCTTGGGGAAGTGGACAGAAGTTATAAAATCCAGAGGAAACAATGGTGAAGGGAAAACCATGCCATTTGAAGACAATTGCAAATTAAAATGCAATTGTAAGAAGAAATACAGGGAGATCCTGTGTACTTTCCCCACTTTCCCCTAATGACAACATCTTGCAGAATTGCAGATTACATATTACAATTACATATTACAACCAGTATATTAACAATTGCTACAGTCAAGATACAGAATGTTTCTGTCCCTGCTAGGATTCCTCATTTGTCCTTTAATAGTCACGCCATTTTTTCCCCTTAACCCACCTTCTCCTCAATCCCTGGAAACCACTAATCTATTCTGTATTTCTATAAATTTTGTCCTGACAAGAATGTTATGTATTTATATGTGGAATCATATAGTGTATAACCATTTGGGATTTACTTTTTTCATTGTGCACAATCCTCTGGGGGAACAAAGTGTTTAAAAGTATACAGATCACTGTAAATATATGAAGCACTATGGTAAATACTCATTATAGTGAACAAAACAAGTTTGGTCTTCACCCTAGTGGGAATTATGGTGTAGTTGGAAAGATAAGTGAAAAGGCTTGGGAGATTTGCTATAGGATAAGGAATTCTCGGCAATATTTTGATGTTTCTAGGAATAATTCACAAGGAAGAAAACAGTTAATGTAATAAAAGAACTGGAGGCTTTGAGAAATGAGAGGGGATTATGGGACTCAAATCATATGTGAAGTGTTTGCATTTTGGTAAGGGGGACCCTTCGGTTTCAACTAGAAAGATTGGATGATGCAGTTGGTAGGTTCAGAGATGGCTTCTCAATGAAATAATAACAGAAAGCCATAGTTGCTACCTATTTCTCAACTCCTAAGGTTCTCTAGTTGTTTCACACTTCTGAGATTCCGATTTTAACCCTTTTTTTCTTTTCTTATTTTAGTGACCCTGGGGATTGAACCCAGGGACACTACTATTAAGCTACATCCCTAGCACCACCACCCCCCTTTTTTTTTTTTTGAGACAGAGTCTTGCTAAATAGCTGAGGTTGTCCTCAACTTGATCACTCARCTTTCTGAGTCACTGGGATCACAGTTGTATACCATTACTGATTTTAATCCTCATTTTCCACCGGACAATTCCTACTTATTAGACTCATCTGGGCCACCACACCCCCACTATTATAATTCAATGAAGTCTATGCTTACTTCACTTAGAAAACTAGTAAGGTTCTTGAAAAGCTTGGTCTGTGGTCCTTAGTGTCAGATTCCATGCAGGATATTTAAGTAAGGATTTGCAATAATGTTTAACATAAATTTTAATAAAACTTTCTCTGAATCTATAACTAGGAATATTTGTTAGAGGGACATGAAAGGCCAGGGATTAACCAATCCCTGGAATAAAGCAGCTCATATAACATCTGTGCCCTTTTAAAATGGCACTGCTAGCCAGGCATGGTGGCATGCATCTGTAATCCCTGCTACTGAGAGGCTGAAGCACATGGATCAAAGCCAGCCTGGGCAACACAGCAAGAGCCCACCTCAGCGCTGCTCTGGCTGTCCTTTTTACTGTCAATGTAGAGGTTCCTGCATTGTTGCAATATTGACACACCACCACAATAGCTTTCATTTAGTCCTTTTGTTTTATTCAAATGCCAAAACATAAGTTCCCAGATACAAACTGTAGTTGTATTCATTTGTGTTTGATTTAAAAATATCAACTATGCTTTGTTAACAACTTGTGAAACCAAAGGTAAATTGTTGACCATAATGTCACCCAGTCCATTTCTGGAGGATCTTAATATAACTACTCCCAATTTTCACTCTACAAAAAGGAAAATGATGCTATAAGAGAAAGATAATGAACAAAGTTAAAATACGAAAGGTTCCTAAAGAGAATGTGAACCATTATTAGGGAGAGTAAGGATAACTCTTTCTATTCCACACTATAGCAATCAGGCTATACTCTGCAAAAGTGCATTTCTGGTCCTACCCCAGCCATAAATAGGTACCTCACATCCTTTTTATTATATCATAGCCCAAGCCTTCAATAGGATTTCTAATCTGTTAATAGCCTAAGAAAAAGTGAGTAAAAGGAAAACTAAAGACTAAAAACCAAAAAATGAACACAAATACTTAAAGGTACTCTGACTTAAACAATTTCAAATGAGACTGAATTGAACAATAATATAGAAACTGTGTCATTACAGAAGGAAAGAAAAAAACCTTAAAGGGTACCCAATTTAATAATAATGGAATTAAATAATATAATTTTCATTTGTTAAGTCCAAAAAATTTCCTTTTTTAGTTTTGCTATATAATGAAGATTAATAACTTATATTAGTGTGAACACATTCACTTTGGCTGATGGCAAAACACATTTTATTTAATGTTCTATGAAGCCAAAGAATTAGATGTCTAGCACCAAAACAAAACAAGAAACTAGCTTAGTACTTTGGGAAAGTACACWTTATCAGGGTATTTTACTTAATTCTGCACATGGCTGTTACTATGACACTGCATGCTAGTTAAAGAATGAGATGTATGGTCTTTTTCTGAAGATTTATATCAGACTTAATTCCATCAACTCACCCTTAGTATTAAAAATGGCTCAAAGATGGCAAATAAATGAGACAAGTCGGTAAGACAATGTCTTTTTTTTTGTAAGTACCAAATGGGAAGTTAGCATCACACAATAGCAGATAAGACTAAGAATATAACGAAACAAAWAATCAATTTATGGTCTTCAGGCTATTTTTTTCATGAAATTTTAAACTTCTTGAAACTACCTGGTCCAATTTTTAAGATGAATAAAATTCTAATATTTTCAGGAAATGAATGTTGGTAGAAAAAGGTAACACTAAAGAATGGTACCCCAATATTCAATTTTAAAGAATTTATTTTCCCATTTGTAGAGTAACATTATTGTAAAATCCACAGTTATTGCAATACCTGCATTGCTTAAAAGAACACCTAAGAATTTTGTTAAAGCATATTTTTTAAAAACTGAACCAAAATAATATACATTTTATCTCTAAACATTGTGCCATTAAAGTCCACATAATGTCCTCTGTATAAATCAATGTGATGTTACAATAATATACATGATCTGATTCTTATCCTAAAGGCTTCTGATCATGTATGATATCCAAGATAGATTCAATGCCTTTAATGTCAGACTGTAGAAACAGTTATGATCCTAAACATAAGAAGGAAAAGCTTTATATACAGGATAGAAGTCTGACAGTTTAGCTGTTTGCAGCATCTGCTTGGCGAGGCCATCCTTCTTCCTCAACTCCAGAGTCATACTCCTCTTCAGAGGATTCTTTTGTTGGGGCCCTATAATGAAAGTCATGTTTGTTTTTTAAATAAAAACTGGAGATAAACAGGATTTCTAGATTCAAAGTAGTAAATTAATTTCCCTATCTAAAAAATCCACAAAACAGAAAATCCGCAAAACAAGCACTTTTAAGATTGCTTAGTAGTGAAATATGGGAAAAACTACAACACAGATGCCAAGTACACTTTCCAACATTTTCCCTAATAAATTTCTTATTAAAACTATAACTTATGAGCCAGATTCAGTCCATTGCCTGTTTTTGTAAACAAAGACTTTCTGGAATACAGACATGCTTATTCATTTACATATTGTCTATGGCTATTCTTGTGCCACAAGGGCAGTTCTGAATAGTTGCAATACGGACCATAAAGCCGTAAAGTATTTATCTAGCCTTTTATGAGAATGTTTGCGGATTCTTGGAACAGATTAAATAAAGTAGTGAAAGATGTGAAATTTGTCAACTGGTACAACTACTGAAAGAAAAAATTATGAACACAAAGTTTTAGTTTTATGAAAGATATGAAAAAAGTCATTTTTTCAATTAAGAATTATTAGTAAAGTTCATTTTAATCTCTTAATTTTGACTACTTTTATGTTTCTTTTGATAATTTTTCCTTAGGGGGAAAAATGGATGCTAATTTTGAAGATCAATTTTCAAAAAGACTCACAAAATATTATTTCATAGGCCCAGATTAGATTTTTCAGAAAATTCATGATTACTTCCTTTATAAAAACACAAGGATTATTATGCAATTTTAAAATGACAGACCAATAAACTATAATAATAAAGACCAAAAAGGATCTTAAACTTTAGATCTTTTCTGGTTTGAAATACACTTTACCGAATGTATCCTGGTTCCTTTTTTCCTTCTACTACTTCTTTGTCAACCTCCACACATACAATATCAGAATTAGGGACTTCAAACATTGGTTCTAGTAACAATTTTTCCTAAAGATATAAAAAGTAATAACAGGTTACATACAAAATACTTTTGTTCTATAGGTCAAGTGAATCCATTCACTCAAGAAAGACTGTCTATTATACACTCAAAACTGAAATCAATGTAAAAACCTTCGTGTTCTTTATATAAAAACAGTTTCTAACCAAATTCAGAAAAAATCTTTTTACAAATAAGCTATTTGTCTGTAGTTTTGCCTATTTAGGTCAACATGCATGTACAAAAAGACTATGCTTTCAAGC